GCGTATAGTTGGTGCGCAAACACAAGCAACAGTAATACGCCCTGCAATGTTGGCGGAAAGGTCCATACACCTGCTGTTTGAATTATTTCAATAAGAAAAAGTATAATGGGGTAATTTTTTGCCCGAAAAATAACATTTCTCCTTTTATTCGTGTCATATGACGTCAAAATTTCGGAAAATGGGAGCAAAAGATGTGCATTTTACACGTTTTGTTCTTAGCATTATTGCACTCAAGGTGTCTTTTCGTACTAAATCGAAGACGCTCTATAATTTTGTCTTGACTTTTGTTTTGACTTTGACTTTTTTCCCGTATCTTGCACCGTTTTCGAGATAGGACCGCCAATCCCAAAATTTGCCGATAGATGGCGTTGTAAGTTGTCTCATAGAGTAGCGGATAGCCTTTTCACTATACCTAGACACCAACTTTATGGCCTAAGCTGTCACCGTTTAGGAGTGTAACGGATGTAAGTGGGAACGGATATATAGTTGTATGGGCGCGCGAAATTCATGAAAACGGAAACACCGGAATAATACTAAAGATTCCTATTATTGCAAATATGCATTTAATGAGGTTTTTGCAGTTACTCTTAAAAAATCAGTCCACAAATAGTGATATGAGGCTGTATGGGTAAGTACAAGTTTGAAAATTATGCTAAAGACTCATATTATTTCGATTAAGCACTTATTGCTGTATTTCGCAATTACTGTCGAAAACTCCGGCCACAAACAGTGATATAAGGCTGTATAAATCCATATAAGTTTGGAACAGAATTTCTAAGAAGTGAGATATTTCTTCATTTCAGTTGAATCTCATATTCTCATTCCGAGTTCCTTTGTTCCCGAAATAGCCCTTGTTAATATATCTAAACTAAACAAAACTATCCGAGTTCTTTTGTCGAATCTACTAGTTTCTTAAATAAGGGATTTCAGATGTATCCAAAAAAGAATTCCTCGCTAAAGAACTTCGCGGAGATAGCAGAATTAACCCAGTCTCACCTCAACAAATCCATTTACCCCCAAAATAGAGTTCGGGTAATTGCTCCTACTAAATTGCTGTAGGATAAGGAGAAATGTATCCCCATCCTGCCGCAATCAAAGGAAAGTTCCTGTCAGCAAGCCGGAAGGCGATGGCAGATTCGTTTTGGTCTTGTGTCGCTTACAGTTAGTAAACTGCCTGCAATCGTTATACAAAAGTAATTGGGTAATGCATTACATTGGACGAGTTAGAGTAACATCCCGTTTTTAACCCCTCTCCAAACTTCTGCACCTCCTCAACGGGACGACGCGTTTGACTCTCAAGAGATATAGCAAGCCCCAAGGCCGTATGTATGATGAGTCTTATGGAAAATCGAGTATAGATCTCATGATCTTCCACTCTCAAAGCCGAGATAATAAAAGAAACGTGTTTTTGAATAACTTGAATATTCGAACAGTAATATTGAATTTTATCAAAGCTGAATACCTTGAATACCCATGTAAAATTAAGAATTAAATACCTTAATTAAATTGCAGTTCCTCGATAACTAATCGAGATTCAAAAATATCAGTTTGTGGAAAAACCTTCACCAATTAGTTTCTCTTAGAGTGAAACTGGAATTCGCTTCGTTGCAATACCGGTATCATTATGAATCTCAACGGTATTCAACTGGAATTTTTATATGAGTTGCCGTATATATCTGGCTTTTGAAGTTATGAAAGAAAAATTACGCGTCGTTTCATACATGTGCAGCAAAGAATTATTTACTACAAATACTCACATTTCCTGCAATATGCAAAGTATTTGCTTCAAATTTTATTGCATGGCTTCTTTAACATAAAGTTGAAAATTTTGTAAGTTTCGTATAGTTTGGTTGAAAAATCTGCATGTTATAAGCAAAAAGCATTCAGAAAAATTCGGGTTTTTTAAGAAAACCTTCATTTCTTCCTGAATATCCGTGCTATATTTACGGAAATGCATCTAAATATTGCGCAAATCGAACAATACCATTTATGAAAGTAGCAAATCATTATCTGCTTTCTATGAAAGGAAATGAGTCCTAAATAATTTCCTTCTCCATCGATTTCTGGTGGGTTCCCTAAATGCCTTCGTGATCGAATCTTCATTGTAAAATGAGAGTTCAAACCTCTTCTTTACATGTCCGAAGTTCAAAGAAAATCCATTCAGTCTTTCGGGAGATACTGAAAAGAATTTTCAAATCCAAAACTGTTCACAGTATTCTGTTACCTACATGTATACCGTTATCATTATATATATATAAAGCTTAGATGTGTAAAATGTTGATTAGAATGTTCGTACAGATGACAGTTTTGCGAATTACAAACGGTCTTCAAGTTTGAAAATTGTTTAATTTATAGAGAAAATTTGGGCTGAGAAGCCTAGCTGCAATGCATTAAATCTGTAAAAATCACAAACAAAGGACTGCCTTCCATTTTTATACACTATCGTTTAACTTGACTTGTATTTTTATACATTTTTATTTAACCTGACTTGTATTTTTATACATTTTTATTTAAGCTGACTCGTATTTTTATACATTTTTATTTAACCTGACTTGTATTTTTAAACATTTTTTATTTAATCTGACTTGTATTTCTATACATTTTTATTTTACTTGACTTGTTTTTTATACATTTTTATTTAACCTGACTTGTATTTTTATGCATTTTTATTTAACTTGCTTGTATTTTTATACATTTTTTATTTAATCTGACTTGTATTTCTATACATTTTTATTTTACTTGACTTGTTTTTTATACATTTTTATTTAACCAGACTTGTATTGTTGCACATTTTTATTTAACTTAACTTGTATTTTTATACATTTTTTATTTAACCTGACTTGTATTCCGACTTGTATTTTTATACATTTTTATTTAATCTGACTTGCATTTTTATACATTTGTATTTTACTTGACTTGTTTCATGTTTGAAAAAATGGAATTTTGAGTAATGCATTACATTGGACGAGTTAGAGTAGATGGATTTTCCACTCGCCCCCTGATATGCTAGAGTTCTAAAATGCTATAAAATTTATTGTATTCATCATTAATTTTATTGTTATCAGAATTTAATCATCCGTTAATTGATTACTTAAATTAAGTCTGATTCCATGCAAGTGGCGCCAACTGTCAATGAATTTGAAAAAAAAATATTTCAAGATATTATTTAAAATAATTAAATAAATTAAGGAGAAAAATGCAGAAAATTATTAACTTAAGTAAAATATTACTTCTTTATAGTACATTTAGAAAAGTATACTTTTTAAAATTATTTTGATTAAATTTATTAATGCTATAGTGTTTTACTATTGAGATTATAGTAAAACAGTATAGCAAATTATTAGCACTTACGTTGTTTCAAATTAACGCTATGGACATAAGTTCTTGAGCTTATGTTAAACCGCTCTTGTAATTCTTGCTGAAACCGTTGACGGTTCTCGTGTAATCCGTAGGTTTCGGCATGTTCTGGCCCTTTTCAGAAATCTTTCAGCTTAAATGCTGTAAAATTGTATGCTTCAGCTTCCTGTTGTGATGAAAGTGTTGACTATATATACTCAAAGCAACTTTATCGTTACTGTTTTCAGATCTACACATTAACTGCATTCCTGTATTCTCGAAATTCATGAAACCTTTTTCAACAGCGCAACCTTGAATAACTTCTGACGAATAACAGATGAAGTTAATTTATTAAACGATCGCGAAATTTCGAAGTTCAAAGTTTTAACGTAGGACTAGGGTCTCAGGGAGGACATTGATTCACACGCCAAAACGCCACAAAACTTGATATGGGAGATCCTCTATATCTCGGTAACTACATATGTTAAAAACATAACTAATGCCTTATTTGAGAGATAAAGAGTAACAACAAAAGTTACAGAAAAAAAACTTATTTAAACTTAAAAACTTAGAGAAACAAAAGAGGCACGCGAGTAAAGTAGTCCTACGCCTTTAACATCAGCGGCTGTTTGAAAAGACAGCCTCCCGTCTTTTTTTTAAATCTTATTTTTAAATTTGAAGTCATTTGAACGGTACGCACGGGCAGAAAAATTGCTTGCTTTTGATTTCCGGATGGCATTACGTATGAAGACGTTTTTAAGAAAAATAATACAGGAACAGGTTTTTCATTTTGAGTAAATGGGCTTATTGTCGTAATTCCTATTGTCTGCTCTCATACAAAGTTATATCAAAAATATTTTAACAGGTTTTTTTCATTTTTAGTAAATGGGTTTATTGTCATAATTCTTATGTTTGCTTTCATACAAAGCTATATCAAAAATGTTTTAACATGCTTTTTCATTTTTAGTGTTATTGTCGTAATTCCTATTGTCTGCTATCATGCAAAGCTATATCAAAAATGTTTTAACAGGCTTTTCATTTTTAGTAAATGGGTTTATTGTCGTAATTCCTATTATCTGCTCTCATACAAAGCTATATCAAAAATGTTTTAACAGTGTTTTTTTCATTTTTAGCAAATGGGCTTATTGTCGTAATTCTTATTTCTGCTTTCATACAAAGCTACATCAAAAATGTTTCTTTCGTGTTTTCAAAATGTTTTTTCCGTTTTTCAAAGTTCCCATAATATCATGTTTAAATTTATCATGCATTTCTCTGCGCATTTGTAAATAATTTATAGAAATTTTAAATTAAAACTGAAAGAATATTTCAACTAATTTGAGATGCAGGCTTTAATCGAGTCCGAGAATTTAATTATGGGTTTTCGTTAGTTAAAATAACACATCGCTTAGAAGCTGCATGACGCCATTTTTACATGAACCTCGTTATTTTGAACCGTAACTTGATTACTAGGCCGACATTTGAGGCAGCACTCCACTCAGTAAACTTCGATGCCACACCAGCGTTTGACACACGGAGGTAGATTTAGCGTAGTATTGTATACCAGGCCATATACATTAACATTTGCGCCACTGTATACCCATGAGCTCGGAAAAAAAGAAGGAAGTGTATAACGTGCTCCCTAGGGAGAGATGAAAAAAGATGCCAACAGCACGCGGTGTTCCCAGGAGGTCACCCTCCCAAGTACTGACATCGTCCGATGCTGCTTAGCTGCGGGGATCAGACGAGAACTAGTGAGTACAGTCCTCAACTTTATAGATCGGGCAGTCGCTATAACTCGGGGAGTTATTATCGGATTTTCTCAAAACCGTTGTCGATGGAAATGTCTAGAGGAGACGGGATTATTCGGAATATTCTCCTCGAGGCATTTCCATCGACAACAGTTTTGAGAAAATCTGATACTAGCTCCTCGAGATGGACTCGCCTGATCTATAAAGTTGAGGATTGTACAAATGGTTTGCAGTGGAATTTAAAATGCATTATTTAGAAGCAACTAAAAATAACCAAATGCAACATTAGGTAATACAGGGTTATTCAAAGAACTGCTCGATTGCAAAAAGGCTTATAACTTCCTCGTAAACAGGAAGAACAAATTAGACGTAACATAGAAGGAAGACTGAGGGTTTGTTTGCCTTTAATAATTTCGCTATGGGTCTTTCCTTGGTCAAACAATCAACATCCATGCGGTATTTCACTGCTATGTAGAGCATTCTTTATCCATGAATTCAGTCATGGAATCAGGGGAGGCTATCGGCTACAGCCCCCAGAGCAAGCCAAATTCTTATTTTGTTCAACATCATTACAACTGTTTTTCTTCATTCTTTTTTTAAAAAATAATAAAAACGTTTCAACATTACTTTCTGGCGACAGACTCGAAAATTTTCTACTTTTGTAGTCATCACTTGCACTTTAGCTTCGACGCTGGGAAGACATTTTCATGGCTAGTTTTGTGTAATTTTTATAAATAAAATATTGTATTGTGTTTTTATGTCTTATTGTCGGTAGGTCAACTCTGTAAGATTAAGAGTTTTGGCTCACTTGTATGGTTTGACATTCATCACGACGATACAAAGTTTTAATGACCTCAGCCCCCCCGACCCGAATCCTAGATTCAACTGAATTCATTAAAGCAGATGATCGTTATTTTTAAATTAGACATTTTCCTTCTATGCGACATTCTCTATCCCATGAATTCAGTTAAAGCAGATAATCGTTAATTTTAAAATTCTAGTATTAAGATTAATACAAATACTTATTTCTTAAATATGTAATGCTATCTAATGTATTGCACATGTTACTACTCAATGTTTTCAAAGTTTCTTCTGTACAACAACCATCTACTTCATCAGATCTCGTTTCTTATCTGGAGAAAAGAAAGGAAACTTCCTACCAAGCGTAAACTTTTTTTGTCCGATATTCTGAGCTCTGTCTTTTTTTTCATTGCGGGAGAAAACTTTATGCTATTCTAACGACTGGCGAGTATTGTCTTCATAAAGGGAAATGTGCAGAATAGCCAAATTCACGCAACGTTCGAATTTTGCATCAATACTTCAGAAGCTGTTGCTCTCAAATATCGGTAACTTGCATCTAGCATTAATTGTACCTTTTCTTTTAAAATAACTTGACAGAACTGCTTAAATTTTCTTAGAAGCAGATTTTAAACTTTTACTTGGCAGTATTTTTCGATAAACGTTTCAAACATTCTCTCTCATAAATGTACAGGAGAAAAATAAAGCAATTTCCTATATACGCAATCTCAACTAAATATATTCCATTTATATCCATCTTTGATAATATATATATTGATGTAGGAATTGTATTTTCCCAGTCTAGCTTAAAAGCGTGAGTTTAATTCCTTCCTAATAATAATTTCTCCCTTTCCGAACACGATCATTTGACTATTGTTGTGCCAGCGGAAAGTTATCGGATGATAACGATCACGCGCTTTCTCACGGTCATCACGTGATGCGCAGGTGTAAGCTCTCCGTTAAAAACTGAGTGTAATGTTTAAATCGGGGGAGATGACTTTTTGAAATCAAGCAGAACGGACATGCGGTAAATGCGAGCGTGTAGGCAGCTACAGGGGTCTCGTCCCTGTCAGCACGGCGGCGATGGGCGATGGCTATTAAATAATGTTTAAACGAGGTATAAGTTTGATATTTTAATGGCTAAGTAACAACCCTAAATCTTTCTGGTCTAAAATGTAAATAATCACCTGTGTAAATACTTTTCTCATTTCATATTATGTTGTTTTAATAATAAATACTTTAGTTTTAAACTCCTGTTCCTCATCCTTTATCTTTGGTGCATTTACCCCTAGAGTGTTCCTTAGATGGAGCATTTTTATCTGTAGGCGGGGTTTGGGATTTAACCTACCACCCTTTTTCCCACATTTATGTGTATGCTTTAGAACTAAATTTGAAATAAATTATTGTTAAAAGCCTCCAAATAGACAATTCATTTTAATCTGCATCGGAAGTCACTTCATACGATCTTGCAAATATAGTAAACTCGGGTTAACCGAAACCCGCGTTATCCGAAATACCTCTGAAATCAGAAATTAAAGGAAAAAAAAACAAGTACTGTGTGTGTACTGCACGGGAATAATCGCGAAGGCGATATTTCTTGCAACGATAACCCAACTTTTTTTTCTTTTAAACCTCCCGAAGATGACCAGTGCTTAATTTTAGAATGCTAAAATTAAATTAATGGGGTATTGACAATTAATTACGAAACTGTTTATCTGTGCCTGTCAGGCGCATTGCACCCTAACTCGCCGGTACGAATATTGCTCCCGACGAAGGGTTAACTTTAATAAAGAGCACATTGTTTAGCAATGGATTCGGAAACCCTCCGCGCATGCGCCGGGCGGAGTTATTTTCATCCAAATAGGGGGAATTGAAGAATGGGAGGGTGATGTTTACATTTTACTGAGCGTGATCTAACAAAGAACTCCGGAAATGCGCTCATATGACTCATTGCCTGACACCCCTTTCCGGTGTAAAATCGTCCAAAAGTGGTCGTCTCGAAATCCGTTGCTGAACAGTAAGTGTAGCCTACAAAGGGAGATTTCAATTCGTTTTACACTCAAAACATTGCAAAATTACGTACTGTAATTAGATACAAAATAGAAATAGGTGTTCTTGGCTTAGTCGAAAATATCTTTATCTGCAGCTGCTCCCCCCTCTATTTTAGTTCGGTCCACAGGGGTTGTACTGTACAGTAGAACCCCGCTAATCCGAAATTCCGGTTAATCCGAACGGATTTTAATTTCGAAAATTATATGTAATTGAAAAGATTACCTGAAAAGATTTAAATATACATACTAAGAGCAACGGAATGAATCTTTTCTTAAGTTCGCCGTAAGATAAGGTCATTTCCATTATTCTAATGAAAAGGGGAGACATATTTTCTTTCTATTGCTTTTGAATAAAAGAATTCAAGAGATAGTAGTGATGAGTACTTACAACTCACATTTTTTAGCACACATCTTTTTCTTTTCTATTTTTATCGGAATTTCGGGTAATCCGAACAGGCGCCGGTCCCAAATTTGTTCGGATTAGCGGGGTTCTACTGTATTTCAATGAGAGCGAGCAATTATATATTGATTTTACATAGTTTACCCACATTTGTCTCTCTCTTACAAAGGTTTATATTCACAACTTTCTGCTAAGGAAGTATTGAAAGTATTCATTCGATCATCGAAGACTCTTTTAGTAAAGTTAAATGCCAACAATATCCCTGCCTTATCTTTGCAACATTATATGCAGAGATAAGGCAGGATAATTACAAAATAATCATTGAGATTCAAATGATATTACTTTCAGAATATTTTGGGTGCGATGAAGGGGTTCAATCGATATATTTTATATTTTAAGATAAATTAAGAAGAGCGATTAATTAATTGAAAGCTTTTTCTTTCATAAAAGAATCAAAATAAAGAAAATACGGACGATATTGGAAAACAGCGATCTAAAACATTTTATTTACAAATCTGAAATTAATTTTAAGAACGCTCGTGCATCAACGCACGGAAGAGACAAACTGCAATGCGACAACGCACGAGCAGTGAAAAACACAAGTTGTTGATTTTTATAAAATCAAAATTTATTCACAAGATGTTTGTCATCGTCATCCAAGTGAGTAGCAGGCTTCGAGTCGGTCACCACAATATTAATCAAATTTTCAGTTTTAATCGGGTGAAGAAACAGATGTTAAATTTTTATTTTTCCGCATGAACTAAAACATGCTGCGCAAACACATTGTCGCGTTAAGCAATAAAATGTAAGTAGAGGTTTACTGCATCAAAAGACGCTGGATCGGTAATGTGACCTGACCATACGTCCCGTTAGTGGCAACCTGTCCCTTTGTCCCCAAGCACAGCTTCGGGACGCTCAAATGTACCATTTTCAGAAAGAGAGCAACCCAGGATAGCAATTTCAAACAAGAAGATACCAAAAATTAAAAATTCTGACAGAAATGTTCAGCAGCCCGGCGATAGCATGCGCTATACTTGTCACACAAATGTAAGTTGGTCAGAAGCCTGCTATCTCGCACTTAGTTCTAACTATGTTACACCGCATGAAGTGACAGAACGAAACACTGGGAATATTTTAACCGAAAGTCGTTGGGTGGAACTGTTCAAAACACTTTCGCGCCAATAATTTAAATCATACGAACTTTCTGATAATTATTGAATATATTCTACGTATATCCGGCACTAATGCACCCGTGAAAATGGTCTTTTTTCTTATAAATAAGTTATGGACGAGTTAGAAAACACAGTTGCAAGTCGCAATTTATAAAGCAAAGCTAATTACCAAAGTTAATTTTGAGAATTTCGTTCTTTCTTTAAGTCTGCACCAAATATACTGAAGCAAAAATGTGTTCTTCAGAAAATACTATATCGCATGAATTGTTTATTTTCACATGTTTATTCTTGTTCTTTTCATTGATAAATAAAAACTGAAGAAATATGTGCTTTCTTGAATTCACATAATATTACCTAAAAATTAAAAAAAATGTCCCGTTTTGAGAGAAAAAAATAAATGGTCACTTTATGGATCGGTGATGTGGTGCTTGCAATTCAGACCTTTATAGATGGGTCCGAAACTGTCCATATTTTACGGTTGGCGAATTCTTCACTTGGGTAAACATTAAAGACACTGTGAAAGTACCACCATTGCCAGTTCTTTGGAATGTTCTCCAGTACCGTATTACCAACGTTCTTGTGGACATGGGC